GGCATCATACATGAAGAAAGCAAAAGGTCGTTAAAAAGACAGGAAGGAAAGACCAAAATGGATGTCAGGAAAGACTCCGGAACTTGCTTTTGAATGGGGAGTAGTTACAGGGAATGGAAGAAATGGTGACATGATAGAGCTGAGCAGAAGAGTTCAACGTGCAGCCCAAGAAACCCAGTCAAGTGCTATAACAAAATGTGCAAAGACCTGGAATCAGAAAACCAAAAGGGAAGAAAATGCTTGGCATTTCTTAAGCTGAAAGAAATGAAGAAAAAGTTCAAGCCTCAAATTGTAAGGATCCTATGGGCAGAAAGTGGTGTAGTGCCTAAGGCATTTGACTGCTAACCAGAAGGCTGGTGGTTCAAACCCACCAGCCACTCCTCAGAAGGAAGACTGGGCAGCCTACTTCCATAGAGATACCACCTTGGAAACCCAAGGAATGGTCGCTATGAGTCAGATCTGACTCGACAGCTGTGAATTTGGGTATAGGCAAATACTGAACAATGCGGGAAGCATTAAAAGAAGGTGGAAGGAATGCACAGAGTCACAGTATCAAAAGGAATTGGTTGATTTCCAGCGATTTCAGGGGGTAGCATGATCAAGGACCAATGGTATTGAAGGAAGATATCTAACATGCACTGAAGGCACTAGCAAAAACAGGGCTCCAGGAATTGACAGAATACCTGTTGAGATGTTTCAACAAATGGAAGCAACACAGAAAGTGCTCACTCTTTATGCCAAGAAATTTGACAGACAGCTACTTGGCCAATGGATTGGGAGAGATCCATATTTGTGACCATTCCCAAGAAAGGTGATCCCACAAAATGTGGGAATCACACAACAGTATCAGTAATATCACACACAAGTAAAATTTTGCTGCAGAGAATTGAGAAATGGTTGCAGCAATACATCAACAGGGAAATTCCAGAAATTCAAACTGGATTCAAAAGAGGACATGGAATAGGGGAAATCATTGCTAATGTCAGATGGATCTTGGCTAAGAGCAGAGAACACCAGAAAGATGTTTACCTGTGTTTTATTGACTATGTGAAGGCATCTGACTGTGTGGATCATAACAAATTATGGATAACATTGCAGAGAATGGAATTCCAGAACACTTAATTACACTCATGAGGAACCTGTACATAGACCAAGAAGCTGTTGTCCAAACAGAACAAGAGGACACTGCATGGTTTAAAGTCAGAAAGGGAGTAGGTTGTATACTTTCACCATACTTACTCAATCTGTATGCTGAGCAAATAATCCAAGAAGCTGGACTGTATGAAGAATGGGACATCAGGGTTGGAGGGAGAATCATTAACAACCTGTGATACGCAGATGACACACCTTGCTTGCTAAAAGTGAAGATGACTTGAAGCACTCACTGATGAAGATCAAAAACTGCAGCCTTCAGTATGGGTTATACCTCAACGTAAAGAAAATGAAAATCCTCACAACTGGACCAGTAAGCAGCATCATGATAAATGGAGAAAAGGTTCAAGTTGTCAGGGACTTCATTTTATGTGAATCCACAATCCACACCCATGGAAACAGTGGTCAGAAAATCAGATGTTGTATTGTACTGGAAAGTCTGCTGCAAAAGACCTCTTTTGTGTTAAAGAGCAAAGAACACCAAGGTGAGTCTAACTCAAGCCATGGTATTTTCAATTGTCTCATATGAATATGAAAGCTGAACAATGACTAAGGAAACCAAAAAAGAATTGATGCATTTGAACTATGGTGTAGGCAAAGAACATCAAATACACCACGGACTGCCAGAGAACGAAGGAATCTGTCGTGGAAGAAGCACAGCCAGAATTCTTAGAAACAAAGTTGGCGAGCCTTCGTTTCGTGTACTTTGGACATGTTTCCAGAGGACATGGTCAGAGAAAAGAGGGAGACCCTCCATGAGACTGCGTGACATGGGGGCTGCAGCAGGGGCTCAAGCATGGCTGCGACTGTGAGGATACACAGGACCCGGCGGTGCTTCGTTCGCAGGGTCACAGGGTCGCTGCACGTTGGGTGTAACTCGAGGGCACCTGGCGGCAACCACACACGTTCACAAAGAGTATTGGTCTGATTCTTCTTGTTCTGTGTCATGTGTGTCTGTTGTTCATGTCAGATTAGTGGTGGCCTCATAGAATTCGTTCAGGTGTGGCCCCCCTCTTCTGCTTTTGGGAAGTGTTTGGAAGGATTGGTTTTAATTCCTTTTTAAGCACTTGGTAGAATCCAACAATGAAGCCATCTTGCCCTTGTTTCTTTGCTGGGAGATTTTTGGTGACTGATACATATTTATTTGGCTTGAGTCAGTTTATGAAATTTGTGTGTTTCCAGGAATTTTCTGTTTCAGTGAGGCAATCTGATGTGTGGCACAGAATTGTTCACAGATTCAGTCACACTCCTCTGTGTTTCTGTGGCGGTGTCTGCACTTTCATGTCTCATTTAACAGTGGAGTGTTCGCCCTTCTCTCTTAGCTAGAGGTTCATCAATTTGGAAGGAAGGTTGGGCAAATTTTAAAACATTTTCATAAAACTTTTGGTTTACTCGATTTTCTCTGCTGTTTCTATCCTGTATTTTGTTTATCGACACTCTAATCTTTATTATTTTAATTATTTGGCTTGTTTTGGGTTTACTTAGCTCGTCCTTTTCTGGTTTCTTGTGGTGGAAGCATAGGCTATTCATTTGAGACCTTTCTTTCTTCTTCTTCTTTTAATGTCTGTATGTTTGCAGCTGTGCTTTTCTTTCAGTCCTGCCTTCATTGTGTCCCACATGCCTTGTAGGTTGTGTTTTCACATGCACTTATCTCAAAGCACTTTCTAATTTTATTCCTCTTTTTTTTCCCCTTTGATATATTGGGGACTTCGGAGTTTAAATTTGTAAATTTTCTATTTTTGTTTTCTGTTGTTGAATGAATTTTTATTTGACCCAACAGAAACCAGTATAGTATGTGGTATGGCACATATATGTATTTGCATTTATCTTAATTGGAGTTACAAATTTCTTGTTGTGTAGATTAGTACTTTTTGTCAAATTTTGAGAAGGCTTTCTTTAGTCACTATTTTGTCAAATTATATTTCTGTTTCTTCTCTCTCTTCTTCTGTTATTCCCATTATGCATTTGTTGGTTTGCTTTGCAATTTCTCAAAGGCTCTGTTCATTTTTCTTCATTCTTTTTTCCCCTTGTTCCTCAAATGATGTATCTCTATAAATCTATCTTCAAGTTCTTGGTTTCTTTCTTCTGACAGATCAAATCTACTGTTAATTCCTCTATTGAATTTTTTCATTGATTATTGTACTTTTCACGGATAGTATTTCTATTTATAATATTAACTTATTTAGTTAAATGTTCCTATTTAAAATCAGAAATTATGTGAAATTATTTGTTGTTTAAGAAATACTTGTTGTTTTGTCCAGCAACATTTATTTTGTAAAGGTTCAGAAATCCTGATACCTAGAAATCTTCCTGGAAGAGTTATTTAGAAGAATATTAATTTTAAATTAAACTTTTCAGATCACTTTATTATCATTTGGTTATTGTAACATATTTTAAAATCAACCTAATAAACACATAATCTGAGAAGTCAAAAGTATCAAAAGTGTACACACACACACACATATGTGCACATGTGTGCATTCATATGTTAACAATGAAAGTAAATCATTCTCACCTTTCCTTCTCTCCCATCACCATCAAGTCAGTTCCAACTCCCAGTGACTCTGCCTCCCAGTATCTCTGGAAAGATACACTCTCCAGTGTTGTAGCATTTTCTTCATATTTTAAAACAGTATATCACCTTTTCTTGGTTTGTTAATTCTTTTTGCATCACATATTGACTTCTTGGAGTACATAAAAGCTTACATATGTTGTAGAGAATGTTGGCAAACAAAATACCTTGGCAGAGGGAAAAAGGACCAGTAGAAAGCAAAAGGAAATAGGTATTTTGATCCTGATAGGAGTTTCATCTGATGTGTGTTAGAGTGGAGGGACTCATGAAAAAGGGAGATGGACGTTAAGAAGCACAGCTGTCCCTGCCCCAAAGGATCAGGGGATGCAAACATTGGAGGGATGAGCCACAAATGACCATTGCAACAGACAGAAATGTTAGTCAGGGTCTGGACATGCCTAAGCAAGAAAGTCAGTGTTTTGGCACTGTGCCTGCTAATACCATAAATACATATACAATATAGTGACCCTAGAGGGGTTTGTCCTCACTGTCCCAGGTCCACTCTGAGGATGTCACAATTGTTATGCTTTTGGATACCTCCCAAATTCACCCTGTTATAAATAATAATATAGTAAACAGTCTCTTCCACAACTTTTTGTGGAGCTCTAGTGGTGTGGTGCCTAAGGCATTTGACTGTTAATCAGAAGGCTGGAGGTTCAAATCCACCAGCTACTCCTTGGAAGGAAGGTTGGGCAATCTATTTCCATAGAGATACTGCCTCAGAAACCCAAGGAAGTGTCGCTATGAGTTGGATCTGACTTGACAACAGTGAGTTTAGTTTAGTTTTGAACCAAGATTCATTCCGTAGTTTTTGAGAAGGAAAACAGCCTTGTGAAAGGCTGTACGAGTTAACATTCGTCAGTATTGTAAAACTTCATCAGTTTCCACCAGTGTTTGGACATTTTTCTGTCTACAGAAGGTAGTAAGAAAAGAATCACAGTGAGAACCAGGCTGTGGTTGGAGAACATGTTTATTTAGAGGACTTCTAGGGTCTGGAGTAGACTGTGGAGACAGAGCTCAGAGTAGCAGGTGTTAGGGAGGAAGGCTTAGGGGAGAGGACACAGGGTTTGGGGACCTGGGCAGCCCTCAGGACTCTGACGGATCACCCGCCTCCTGGGCATCTGTTTGGCCTCACAGCTGCTGCTCTGGTGTTACAGATGCCACAGGTGGAGGGAGTGAGAAGAGGGAGGTGCCAGGAGGGGATGGGCAGGCCCTTGGCACCAGCAGTGCTGTCTTAGTGCGAGGAGTTCCCTGAGGCAGATACTGGCATCTTCAGAGTCAGACTCCCAATGAGGCTGCAGGTAAGAAGTATGAAGGGAAGGAGGAAGAACCTTCTGGAATGTGAGTTGGTATGTGAGTCCCAGACGGGTAAAAAAAAACATGAGGTGGCCCCTTAGTCTCCATTAGAATCTGGAGAGCCCCAAGCATCAGGTGGTGCATTTTCTGGGGAAGATTGACAAGGGACTGTGCTTCAGGGGCTGGGGTGTGGCACTGGTGACGGCCAAGGGGACCCACATGGACTGGAGCCACCGGGATCTGTGGTCTGAGCTTTAGATCTTGCACTGGCAGCAAACAGGGACACAGCAGCTGGG